AAAGAAAAATTAAAAAAAAAATAAAAAGGAGACAGAGAAAACAGGGTAAGAGATGGAGAGGGATCTAAAGGTCTAGAGAAAGGTTGTTTGATTTCTTTAGTACCTTTTTAACACAGGGATTGCCCGGAGTATTAATTTACTAACTCCTTCAGTTGTACAACTTAACAAGCACCAGATCAGTGTCCTTACAGAGCTTACAATCTATTGGGATAGAGACAACAAACAAATATACTAATTTCAGGTGGAGATAAATGTTTTGAAGACAAAGCAGGTTAAGAGGATACAGAGTAACAGTGACATTTTAGATAGATAAATCAGGGGTGACAGCTCTGAGTAGGTGACATTCAAGTGAGAACTGAATGAAGTGCAGCAGCAGGCATCCTAGATGAGAAAGGAGTTAGGAGGTGAGAGAGGGTGGAGAGGACGATGAGAACAGTGGCCAGGCAAGGGGTGACATGTCAAGGGACAGGTGTGGTTAGAGCACCGTAAGAGACCGGCAGAGCAGGAAGAGAAGAGGATGGAGAGGTAGCAGAGACCTTACAGTACATGGTCAAGAGTTTGGATTTATACTCTTTGTAGAGAAGCCACTACAGACAGTATAAAGGTGTAAAAGAGAAGGATCACTGTGACTGTTCTGTGAACTCAGACCAAGAGGTGCATGAATGGTGGCAGGAAGCGACTACAGGAGGCCTTGCAAAACTTAGTAGTGGCCTGGGCTCAGATTTAGGTATGGGAGCAGGGGATTATGGGTGCTTGAATTTGAGAATATGAGGTGTCACAGAAAGACAGGAATCAAGGTTGACTTCAGCTTTGGGGCCTGAGTGACTGGGTGGTATCACTGCAGAGGTTAGGACAATGGAGGAAGTATAGGCTCATGAAACAAATCAAGAATTTGGTTTTGGAAATGTTAAGTTCAACTCATCTACTAAACAACTAAGTGAAGAAGTAAAGCAGACAGCTGTAAAGCAAGGGAGAGGTAGGGAGTATACATAAATATGTGGAAGTCATCCACATACAGATGTCATTCAGGACCTTGCAAATGAATGAGATCACCTATGGAGTGGAGACCGGAAAGAGGGTCAGAGCACTAAGCCCTAGGTGCTCCAAAGTTTAGGGGCAAGAAGAGAAGGATCCAGCAGGAGAGACTGGGAAAGAACAAGTGAGCAGTGAGCAGAATCAAGATAAAGTAGCATCACGAAACCAAATAAAAAAAGAATTTCAGGAAGCAGGGATGGTCAGCTGTGCCCCGTGCTGCTGAGATAAGCATGAGCTCCAAGAGAAATTCTGGGAGCCTCTGTGACTCATGATGAATGAACAATGCTCTGTGATAACATTCCTTACCCATAAGTGTATTCAGACCACTTAGTCACCCTCAGTTCATTTAGAACACTATGCCTCTGTTTCCAAGGAAGCCTCACCCCATGGCAAGCCGCCTTCAGGATTCTCCCAGGAAGCAACAGAAGAGATCCCTGTGCCTGTGAAATAGAAATGGCTCTAAAGGGGAGGCGTAAATAGGAAGCAGACCAATGCTCACAGCAGAGAACCCAATTTGTTGGGGCAGAATAGAACCATTCTATAAATTCCTACATTTTTTGACTCACAGCATGTAAGAGGAAAATCAACAGCAATAAAGTTATTATAACTCCCATTCTACCGATGAGGAAACTAAGGCGCAAGAGGTTAAGTGACTTGCCCAAAATCACACAGCTGGTAGGTAGGAAAGCCAAGATTCTCAAACCTAGGAATCAAAGGAAAAGAGCAAATTGTCAACTATTTTGCTTGGCTGCCTTCCCCAAATCAAATGTGTAGTTTCTGGGAGTCAGATCACAAAATTCTATCTGACACTATGACTTCTGATCAAAATTGGCCATCCTTTCTTCCATTTTAAAATATTTAATTGACAAAGATTGAATATATTCAAGGTGTACAATGTGATTTGATATACACTGTGTAACAATTACCACAATCAAATTAACACACCGCATCACCATTTATACTGTACATTAGATCCCCAGAACTTAGTCATCTTTAACTTAAACTCTCTACCCTTTGACCAACATCTCCCATTTCCCACAACTCCCCAGCAATCACTGTTCTTTTTTTTTTTTTTTTGAGACAGAGTCTTGCTCTGTCGCTCAGGCTGGAGTGCAGTGGTGCGATCTTGGCTCACTGCAAGTTCTGCCTTCCGGGTTCACACCATTCTCCTGCTTCAGCCTCCCAAGTAGCTGGGACTACAAGTGCCCGCCACCACACCCAGGTAATTTTTTTGTATTTTTAGTAGAGACGGGGTTTCACTGTGTTAGCCAGGATGGTCTCGATCTCCTGACCTAGTGATCCGCCCGCCTCAGCCTCCCAAAGTGCTGGGATTACAGGCGTAAGCCACAGTGCTCAGCCAATCACTGTTCTACTCTCTGCTTTTATGACCTTTTTAGATTTCACATGTAAGTGAGGTCAAACAGTATTTTTCTTTCTGTGTCTGGCTTATTTCACTTAGCATAACGTCCCCCAGGTTCATCCATGTTGTCACAAATGGCAGGATTTCCTTCTTTTTTATGGCTGAATAACATTCTGCTGTATATATGCACCAAAATTTCTTTATCCATTCATCCATCAATGGATACTTAGGCTGTTTCCATATCTTGGCTATTGTGAATAATGCTGCAATGAACACAAAAGTGTGAATGTCTCTTCAAGATACTAACATCATTCCCTTTGGGTATATACTCAGAAGTGGGACTGCAGGATTATGTGGTAGTTCTATTTTTGATTTTTTGTTTTTAGAATTGTCATACTGTTTTCCATAATGGCTGTGCAATTTATATTCCCAACGGTTTACAATGATTCCTTTTTTTCCATACCATTGCCAACACTTTTTCTCATCGACTTATTGGTGTTTATTAAGAACTCTAAGGGAAGCTAAAGCCAGTCCTCTTCCACCAGCATGGTAAACGTTCATAGTTAATAATGTTTCTTCTGGAGAATTCTCTACTTTTATGACATGAGAGGCCACATTCAGTGGAAAAATACAAGGACATCAGACACACTTGGATTTAAATTTTGGCTCCTCTCTCTAGTGAACGGGTAAATGTAAAAATCTGGTGAGAAAAAATCCTAATTTGCAGGGTAGTTATAAAAGTCTGTGACAGGACATAGATGAAAACACTGAAAATGGAGTCTTACATATTTAAAAAACCCTTTTTTCTCTCCTGCCCCTTCTCTTCCAGAATGCACTGCTGAGCCTCTGAAGTTAGTGTAATAGAAGTTGGTTACTCATTGATAGTTTTTGTTAAACTTTTCACCTACATAGCAGCAAAAAAAAAAAAAAAGAAAAGAAAAAAAACCCAAAAAGGTGGTTCTTCAAATCTTCATGTTTTACTGTCACAAAAAATTTGCATCTTTAAACAAAAAAAGTTGTTTAATATAAAAATGTTTTATATTTACCTCCAACTAAATTGATTTGCTTTCTCTTGAAAGTTTCAGGAATATTTGTTTTAGGAAGGTTTTCCATGATATATGGTGACTTGACTTCCACACTGCCACATTACCACTTGCTCTCCAATATGAAGGCTCTTAAAAAGAATGCATGAAAGTATGACGACTTAAGATTTCAAAGAGGTTCTTCATATTTCAATTATTATTCTGTCCTGTTTGCACCATCTTAACATCTTGGGGTCTACTCTACAATGTGGCCCAGTTACAGTTTTAGTTCCAAAAAATTTTAACTGTATTTTCCACCCAAGAAAATTATTACTTTCCAGCATTTCAACAGTGAATTCCTGGCCACTTGTAGGCTAAGCAGATACTAGCTGTGAGCTTGCTTTCAGAGAAAAGTCTCTGGAACAGCTCTAAGGGTAAATGTAAACAGTATAAATCTGAAAATATTTTTCCAGTAAAAACAGAACACTCGCCAAGGATGATCCTAAGTAAACTGCAATGACAGAAGATAGAGTTTTAAAAAATCATTTGAAAAGACAAAACATATTAATCCAAAGAAGCCAAAGGATTTAATTCAGCTATACTAACAGAATGTGGCTGCTTTAAAATATTACAGATTGGTGCAAAATTGCACTTTTTGCTATTAAAAGTAATGACAATTACTTTTACTTTTGCACCAAATAATCCAACCTTAAAATGTATATTTATAAAATAGCATCATTTACTTTTGCACCAAATAATAATTCAGTCCTTAAAATGTATTTTTATAAAATAGCATCATTTACTTCAGAAACTTTTTGTTGTTAGGTAATGCCACATACTCCCTTTTGTTATGCTATACACACTTGTATATTATTCGAAGGCCCCTGGATGTTGTACATACCCTGAGTAACATGTAAGATCACTGAAATCTTGTTTTCATTATTTTGTCATCAAAATATCCTTGCCAAACTTTTTTTGCTAAAACTCTTTCTCCTGGAAGGCAGGGTAAGAAGTCCTTCTTCCTTATAAGATCCTGGCCCACAGTACGGTGAGCCACAGACAGGTAAGAAATAACTTTTGCAGCTGGGCATGGTGGCTCACACCTGTAATCCCCACACTTTGGGAGGCTGAGGCGGGTGGATCACTTGAGGTCAAGAGTTTGAGACCAGCCTGGCCAACATAGTGAAACCCCATCTCTACTAAAAATATAAAAATTAGCAGGTTATGGTAGCATGCACCTGTAATTCCAGCTACTTGGGAGGCGGAGGTTGCAGTGAGCTGAGATTGCACCACTGCACTCCAGCATGGGTGATGGAGTGAGACTGCCTCAACCAAAAAAAAAAAGAAATAACTTTTGCTTTCTGAAGTTGTTTTCTGAAGCATGCATAGAGGAATGGATTATTTTCAGCAATCCATGTGGACTGAGGAATAAAAAGTTACAGAACTTCAACAAATAATATCTGAAACCTCACTACTGTTAACAGAAATAACAAGAAAGACATAGGCCTGTTCTCCCGGAACTGACAGTCGGAGGGGAAAAGGAAGGAAGGATGCTATTCAAATACGAAGGAAGGGGATCTTACCCAGGCTGGATGGGAGGTGAGTGTGAGGAGTCAGAAAAGGCCTCCTGGAGGCAGGAACATCACCTGAAGGATGAGGAGGCATCAATAAATACAATAGGCCAATATAAGGGTTGGTGTTAGGCTGCAGACAGAGCAGGAGGCGGCATCAGATCTGCCTCTGTAACAACAAGGACCTGACCTTGTGTAAGCCATTTGACCTTTTTTGCTCTCATTTTCCTTATCTATAATACGGGTTGTCCAGGATGTCAGTTAACCTTAACTCTTGCTGTGCATGAAAATCACCTGAGCGCCTTCTAAAAAGAATGGCCCCTTCCTCTGAAAGGTCGTTTCAGGTGGTGGGGCATCAGTGTTCCTTTCACGAGCTCTCCAGATGATGCTAATCTGCAGCCAGGGCTGAGAACCACTGGATGAGATGAGCTCTCAAGGCCCTGACATCTTAGGTCTGTGGTTCACAACCCCTGGGGCACAATAACATCTTCTGGGAGCTTTTAGAAATCCCACTGGAGGCTGCATTCCAGATAATTAAACCAGATCTTTGGAGGTGGCCTCAGGCATCCGTAATTTTAAAGTTCCCAGACTGATGCCAAGCTACAACCAAGGTTGACAACCATTGTTCTAGGCCCTCCTAATACTTCAGTTCCCTATTATGGTCAATGAAGGATGGGAAAATTAAAAAGAAAACTACATCGAATTAAAAAGAAAACTAAAAGCCAAAGGCCACCGAAGGATCTTAAACGGGATACCACACGTGGATGTGTGCATCATTCACGTTTATGCATGACAGGTGGGAAATGCCCAATCCAAAATGCTCTCAGTTCTAAATTTAAGATTCAATGGAATACTTCTATAAAATGGCTCCATGGTATGTTCTCCGCAATACTTAGTTAGAATTTGATTTGCATGGTTGACTGTAATATGAACATTACATTCCCTACCCACGAGGTTACTTAAATCCACTTATTAGGCAATGGTGAACTAAACAAACAGTAATTAGAAACACTCCAGACTACCTTTTAAATCTGTTGCTAAATTATGTTTTTCCTGCACCAAAGCCCATATACACAGCATGTCCACAAGCATCACAAAACCAAAGCCTCAGAAATATTTACACTAATAAGGGCATAAGCTACCTTTAGGCCTTCACACTGGATTCTGCAGGGAAGTAAGGGTTGCTTTAGAAGAAGACTATTCATTACTGTTATTTCTCACATCTGGGTAAATAAAGCACTGCCCGCATGCGGTTGGAAATCCCAGGTGAAAATGAACTCTCCGGGGGTCTGGAAATGAAGAATACCTCTGATAGACTGTCTCATTTCCTGAAATGAGTCAGAAGTGAAAGTAATTCTTCAGAAAAGAACCTCTGCACTATGGCACAGCTTATAAAATAATGCCAGATGATACCTGTGGCTATGAAGTTGGCCTCAGAGAAGAAGGGAGGGTCTGGGAACAGCACCAGAGCCTCTGCATTGCACTTAATCTCAGGGCTGCCGCTGTTAGCTTGGAGGGCCTGCAAATTCAATGAGCGGCTAGGCGTCCTGGTCTCCACCATAAATCTTGATTAGCAGTCAGACTGCTCACATTCCATTAGAGAGCTGGCCCCTCGCCAATGGGTGGAAGCAGCCAGAAAGGATGCATGTGCTGCCCTGAGCACGGAAATAGCAATTCTTACAAGAAAAACTGTTTTCCTTAACTAAAAATAGTCTATACCCGTTAATGACTCAGACAGACCTTTCTTCCTGGGGAGGACTATGACCTAATGCTGCCAAGGAAAGCCCTTCCCATCCTATTATGCAGGAAGAAGAGGTATTGGCATGTGGTCAGGTACTGGAGGACAGGAAAGAATGAAATGTCTTTCACACAACTCTAGTAAAGACCAATAAACAGGAAGGTGAAAAACAAAGACGGTTTTCACCAAGATCACAGGCTTGGTTATTCTTCTTAGATAGCTCTTCATTATTCTTTTCATCCTGGTTAAGTATATATGTACATATTTTATTTATTTAATGTTTGAGACAGGGTCTCACTCTGTCACCCAGACTGGAGTGCAGTGGTACAATCTCGGCTCAGTGCAGCCTCCACCTCTCAGGTCCAAGCAATTCTCCTGCCTCAGCCTCTCAGGTAGCTGGCATTACGAGCATGTACCACCACACCTGGCTAATTGTTGTATTTTTGTAGAGACAGGGTTTCACCATGTTGGCCAGGCTGGTCTTGGACTCCTAACCTCAAGTGATCTGCCTGCCTTGGCCTCCCAAAGTGCTGGGATTATAGGCATGAACCACTGTGCCCAGACCAGGGTTTTTAAAAGGAATCCAGCACTGCTGTTTGTAATGGAGTGGTGGGGGAACTGGAAACAATCTACATGCCCGTTAATAGATGATCAGGTAAATTATAGTACATACACAATAGAATATTATGCAGTTATTGAAAAGTCCTATCTGTGTGCAGATATAGAGATACCTGTACTATGACACATTAATACATTAAAAAATGCACCTGGCTTTTGTATAGTAAACATTTGTGTAAATGTTTTTTAAAAAGTTGCCTAAAATAGGAGAGGGTTGGGAGAGAGTGTTATTTTTCTTTTATACCCTTCAATATAGTTTTGACTTCTCATATACCTGTACCCTTCCCCTTTTAAAAGTAGGCACTAAGTAACCGGAGGGCTATTTCTGGTTTCTTCTTTATGCTAGCCTCTTCATACATAATTTAAAACAAGTGCTATTTTATTTTTTTGAGACGAGAGTCTTGCTCTGTTGCCCAGACTGGAGCACAGTGGCACGATCTTGGCTCACTGCAACCTCTGCCTCCCTGGTTCAAGCGATTCTCCTGCCTCACCCTCCCCAAGTAGCTGGGATTACAGGTGCCCGCCACCACACCTGGCTAATTTTTACATTTTTAGTAGAGATGGAGTTTCACCACACTGGTCAGGCTGGTCTCAAACTCCTGACCTCAAGTGATCCGCCTGCCTTGGCCTCCCAAAGTGCTGGGATTACAGGTGTGAGCCACCATGCCTGGCTAGTAAGTGCTATTTTAAATAGATGTTATGGAATCGTAACTCCCCAAAAATCAGATGTCAAAGCCCTAACACACAGTATCTCAAAATGTGGATTTGGAAAAGACAGGGTCTTTAAAGAGGTGATTAAGTTGAAAATGAGACTAAGTGTGTGCCCTAATCCAATTAGACTGGTGTCCTTAAAAGAGGAATAAATTTGGACACAGGAAGATACCGGAGTGCATGCATGCAGGGGAAAGACCATGTCAGGACGCAGAAAAGGTGGTCGTTGGCAAGCCTCAGGAGAAACCAAATGTACTGACACCTTGACGTTGGGCTTCCTAGCCTCCAGAACTGTGAGAAAATAATGTCTGTTGTTTAATAACCCAGTCTAAAGTATTATGTCATGGCAGCCCCAGCAAACTAATATAACAGATAAACAGATGGATGATTCAATTCAACTAGCACAACATGGATACAGTCAACCATACGAGTCTTCAACAGGTGAAAAGCCCACTAAGTCTACCATGATGCTGACGGTCTAATCTGCCTTTGAAGACACAGGAGTTGATGGAACTTCTGACTAAACCATGTTTACCCTGTTAAGTGGTTCAAGCTGGGACTTGAATGGGTTTCCCACCTCGTCATTTTTAACAAACTCCATAACTCAAAGAACTAGAGCCTCAGATACACACACACACACATTTGTTTTTTGAGACAGGATCTTGCTCTGTCACCCAGGCTGGAGTGCAGCAGCACAATCTTGACTCACGGCAACCTTCACTTCCTGGGCTCAAGCAATCCTCCTGCCTTAGCCTTTCAAGTAGCTCAAACTACAGGTACATGCTACCATGCTCAGCTAATTTTTTAACGTTTTTGTAGAGATGAGGTCTCACTATACTACCAGGCTAAGCCTCACATATTTTATTAGTGACTTTTAAAAGCTTGGCTTATAGTCAAAAGGCTGATAACTAATGAAAGCGAAAGTGTCACAGTAATATTAATTCAATTTTTTAAAAAAAGACTTGGCACCAGTGTTTAAAACAAGTATGGAAAAACAAATGATATGCCATATTTATGGGCCAACTTAATCTTTTATGCTTTAATACCTATGGTCCCAGACCACAATGCAGTATCTTTTTAAAAGTATGGTAATCCAGGGCTAAAATTTCTTTATGAAACCTTACAGATTTTTACAAATTTATTAATCTTTTTAAAAACTGGAGTTTAGAGATCAGTGACACAGAACCACAGACTTTGCCTACAGAATCTTTAGGCTATAAAGGCTTTACCTACAAACCTATAGTCTTTAACTTGCAAAGATTTGTAAGTGGGTTAAGATGCAGACACCTGAAAAGATCACGACCCAAAGATAAATATGTGGTATAGTCAGTTCAGGCTACAGACATTCAGAGGAAGGTGGAATCACTTCCTCTGAATGGCCAGGGGAAGTTTCACCAACAGTATAAGGTCTAAGTCAATCTGGATTAGAAATAAAAGTTAAGAAGTGATTTACGTTCAGGTCTGCCTTACCCGAGTATATTGTTCTAAAGGCGAGAACTGTGTCCCTAAAATCCTAACAGTGCCTGGCAAGTAATAGGCATCTGCCAGCTGGGGCAGGGAAACAGGTGAACACACAGCATGCTCATGTTAGGGTAGGTCTATACTGCAGGATTTTTGTAAGGAAGTTGCAGGACATAAGATTTAAAATGTTGGAACCAACCTGTAGGTACACTGAGGTTTGGGCTTTATCCCTACACAGTGTAGAGTCTACGAAGATGTTTCTGAAGGAGAAAAGCACATGATGGGGCCAGCAGTGTTGTGCAGAATGGACTGGAGGTGGTAGAGAAATGACAAGAATCGGGAAGGTTAACTGGATGATCAGCTGGGTAAAGTCTCAGCTTCCTAATCTATAAAATGGGCATCATACTACCTCTGTTCATAGGGCTGCTGTGCATATTAAATGGAATAAGGATGGTAAGGTACATAACACGAGATCTGACAGTAAGCACTCAAGACATAATTGCTATCATTATTATTTACTATCATTATTTATTGTTATTATCATTAT